CTTTCCACAGAACAACTGTGTCAACTCTTGAAACTGTGCCTGCAGTCAACCTACTTCACATATGGGGAGCAATATTATAGGCAGAAACATGGGTGTGCTATGGGGTCTCCAGTTTCTCCTATTGTTGCCAACCTGTACATGGAGGAGGTAGAAAAGAGAGCCTTGATGTCCTTTTCAGGGACACCACCAAGTCATTGGTTCAGGTATGTTGACGACACCTGGGTTAAAATTAAATCTCAGGAAGTCCAACATTTTACTGACCACATAAACTCTGTGGATAAATACATCAAGTTCACACGAGAAGATGAAAAAAATGGCAAGTTGGCTTTCTTGGACTGTGAGGTCTCAGTCTCTGATAGAGGACATTTGCAAACTGAGGTGTACCGCAAACCCACCCACACAGACCAGTATTTGCAGTTTGACTCCCATCACCCTTTGGAGCGCAAGTTAGGAGTCATCAGGACTCTGTATCACAGAGCAGACAGCATCCCCACTAGCTCAGGAGCCAGGCAGAAGAAGAAATCCCACACAAGACAGGATCTAGAGCAATGTGGATATCCTAACTGGGCCTTCCTGAAAGCAGAGAAGAAACCCAAACAGGACTCCAGTCAGCCAACAGGTGAAAAGGAGGAACCCAGACCCAGGCCAGTGGTCATTCCATATGTTGAGGGAGTATCAGAGAAACTGAGACGTTTATTTTCTAAACATAACGTCCCAGTGGCTTTTAAACCCCAAAATACATTACGGCAAAGACTGGTTCATCCCAAAGATCCAGTCCCCCGGCACAAACAGAGTAATGTTGTGTATGCTGTTCAGTGTCAGGAGGGCTGTGATCAGTCTTGCATCGGGGAAACAAAACAGCCACTGGCCAAAAGGATGGCCCAGCACAGAAGATCAACATCATCAGGCCAGGACTCTGCGGTCTACACTTATCTCCAGGCCAGCGGTCACTCTTTCAGGGATGAAGATGTTCACATCCTGGATAGAGAGGAACGATGGTTTGAGAGAGGAGTAAAGGAGGCCATCTTTGTGAAAAGAAATCGTCCATCGTTAAACAGGGGTGGAGGCCTACGTGTTCAGTTGTCCCCCTCTTACAATGCTGTGATTGCTAGTATCACTCAGCCCTCTGTGAATAGTAAACAGCCATCAGTGTGCTAATGATCCATTGTTAGGCTGATGGTCCTTCTTGAGCATGTGATCAGCTGGTTTTGGTTGTCAGCAGCAAAACTGGTTGATCCACTCTGAGAAGGTGTTATTTAAGAGACTGAGCTGAATACAGCACCTCAGACTGAGGAAGTCTCTCGGATGAGAGACGAAACGTTTCTATATATTTTTTTGCTTTGTTTTGTTTTTTGTTTTTTTGAATGTCCAGAGGACCAGATTGAACTTTTTTGGATTTTTATACCTGGATTATTGAGCATGCATCAGGATAACAAATAGTTTAGTTTTGCCTGTGACTTATTGCAGTACGATAAATGGT